TGTTGTGGAACACGCTGAGAAATAGCAGCTGTAAACATGGAAAAAGAAAGAAAATTGAGTGGAGTATAATCAAGAATTCGAGAGATTCCCTAGTTTTAGTCATTTACCAAGGGGAGGATTAGTGTTATCGACCCAACATAGAGGCCACCATCTCCTTCGGGGAAAATCATACAGGGAACATCGCGCGTAAGTAAGTCGATCCTTTACGGGGATTGCTTTATGATCAAGGTAAAATGGGTCGAGTGTTTTTACCCAAGGAGGATAGGATAAATACTTGGCTAAACCGAAAAGGGCATTTGGAAGAGGAGGTATCTTCTTAGGGCAAAATTTTTCGAAATTGATTTTTCCTTTAGGGTTAATTACCTTTTTCGAGCGAATGTTCCTCTGTAACATTTTTGATAGAGACACAGATGCATCGAAGATAGTACGACCAACGTTGTCAGGTCGATAACATACTTTAAAAAATTGCTCAAACTGATAAATAAGGATTTGATTCTTGAAAGTACCTGATTGCTTGGGCCCCTGTGAACAAGAGAGAGGAGAATTTATCAGCTTCTTCAAAAAGCCATCAAAATCGATGAGTTTATCTACAATATAATAACACCACCATCGAAGATAGCACTTCGAAACTAAGAATGAAGGAGAGAAGGTGGATGGTGTAAGTTTGAGTTCTTTATCAGGGCGAAGGATGAACTCAAGGACCTCTTTGTAATTCCCTTCTTCGACACAAATATCTGCATCGATGCTTTCCTTACGTCGAAGAGGAAGGGGTTTCATTTGGCAAAGTCCAAACTGTCGAGCAAAAAGTTGGGGTTGATAGGGATAAAGCCTAACATCTTTCTGCCTCATGCCGGAGATAATGACATCCCATGACAAAAACCCAAACCACATGTCAGTCGAAGAGGGACTTATGTTTCCAACCTGATTATTTTGGCGAAGCCAGGTTGGACCTATTAAATTTGGTCGAATAAAAGGGGCTAAGTCTTCAGTGAACTCAGTGAAGCTAAGAATGGCTCTGACATATTTTTCAAAATTATCGACCAAACGCTTCCGAGGGGTAAGGGTCGTCAAACGAGCCCCCTCGAGTTCACAGATGGGAATTGGAATGGAAGGCAAACGAAGTTTCTTATCGAAGATCGCGTTAAGCCATAGTTGAAGTAGCCATAAAGGGCCGGAGAGATTCCGAGGCCCAGATTCTCGAGAAAGGCTCTCTGAAGCTTCATCAAGACAAGTGTATAGAGAGGCCAAAAGAAGTTTGCTTAAACATATTTTCTTTTTCGAATGAAGAGCTTGGGCTAAAACATAATAATATTTTGGGACTTGGAGTGAAGGAGTGCAGAAGACACATGCTGACAACCAATACATTAAAAAGGCAATGTGCTCTGAAGGTGAAACAGGCGTACCAGGTTGCCCCATATGCGCAGTAATAAAAGCCAAATAGGTCTTTTTGTCCCAAGAGATCGAAATATCCTTGATCGAAATTTCCTCTTCAAATGCGTCAGGGTGAAATCTTTCCCCAATAGGCATTAGTCCGGTTATAGCAGCAATATCGAGCAAGGTGGGACAAATGAAGCCACAAGGAAACTCGAAAGCCCGAGTTTCTCTATTCCAAAAAAAGAGAGCAGAAAGTAGCATCTGGGGGTCGAAAAGGTGAAGGTCGAATTTAGCTAGCTGGATGAACTCAAAGATACCAGTTTCTTTCCATTCAGAGTGCATGGAAGCTTCTACGCGGGTTAGCCAAGATGAATGCCTATCTTTAACAGGAGGGAATGCTCTAAAAATTTTAGTAGCATCCCCAAAAAGGGTTAAGTCTATCTCTGGGGAATAGATGAAAGGTAAGGTGGAAGAGTCTTCAGGCAAAAGAGTATTACCAAATTTTTTCTTATGCTGACCAGCGAAAGGACCAAGAAAAGCGTGAATAGAACCACTTTCTAAAGAGAAAGGGAGAAGTACCTGGGATTGAAATATCTTCAAACTGGCCTCCTCCATGCCTGGGATTGGAACGAAAGTGTCATCGCCCTCCTTAACCTTGCAGACTTGAGCGTTGGCCATTAGCAAAGGAGTGCCTTGAGTAGTGGTTGCAGTGGCCATGGTGGTTACAGGGACAGTCGCCATAGTAGGAGATGTGGTAGTAGCTAGAACTGGAGATGAAGCGGAGACAGCAGTAGGAGAGGCGGTAGAGGCTATAGTAGCGGAAGTTGACGCAGAAGAAGAAGCCATAACGAACAAAAGCAAGAACAGAGAGAACGGCCGGAGAAGAAGATCAAGAACTAGAGCAAAAGAAGGAGTGATGAGCAAGAAAACTTGGGCGCGAAGGAAGACAATGGTGAAAATAGTTTAACCCTAAGGTAAAACAAGGTTTTGAACGTTTTGGTGGGCTTGAGTCAAATGGGCTTAGCAAACAATGAAAGTAGTTTAACCCTAAGGTAAAAACAAGGTTTTGAACGTTTGGTGGGCCTGAGACTAATGGGCTTGGTAAATAAATTCAAATGATTAATTTGAATATCCGTAACAGCCGCAAAAAAGATATTTCCCCAACGACAAATTTATGGAGTAGAGTGAACGCGCGCCGTCAGGGTAATCAATGTCCCATCAAACAGTCATTAGCATTTAATGAGATAGAAAGTAGGTTTTAATTGAAGAAATATAACGTCACACTATCCGAACGTTAATGGCAACCTTTGATAGGAATTCAATTCTTTCGGATTGATGTACACCTCAAAATTGAATTCCTAGGGGGGCATTTATTGAGACTAATCGAAAACCATAAGATTCGAAAAGTTGTATCGACTGTGCTACTCGAGAGAAATATAAACGTCAAATCAACACCTGTTGAGAACGCATGAGGAATCCTATTTGTTTGTGCTCGAGGTATAGTCGAAAAAATAAGGATTACTCGAAAATAGACGGTTTTCTGAGGCTATCTCAAAACAATTAGGTAGTTATACCATAGCGGTTACTAAAAGACAAATCGAAGGGATAAAAACACGTGGGATAAGCAGTTATTGGAAGTTATAAAAACGTATCTGATATGGAGAGCAGTTAACCACCCACGACGCATGCATGCAAAAGAAAACGTCTCTCGAGAATTTCTATAAATAGGCAAAGGTTGGCCTTTTACGAGGTCGAAAAAACTCATACTGTCAGAACTAAATTCTCAAGCACTCTCTGCCCGCGCATATGACTTTCGTGCACAGAATCGTTTTTGGGTATGACTAATTCTTGGCCATTTTTACCTTGCTTTTTAGGAGTAGAATTAGTGTAGCTCTTTTAATTTATCTCTTGTAATCCATGAAGTTATATCATTTTGGCATTGTAATTCTATAACAGTATGCAAGTTGAGCCATGATTTGTATTGCAAATATTTTAATTATCCATTCTGTTCATCTTAGCATTCATATGTCTGGAAATTGTTGTTTGTTAATTGTTGAAGAATAATTAAAAACAAGTAATTACTAAAATTGTCCACTCCATTTCCTGTTCTTAAATCAAAAGTCTAAATTGAAACCATTCACGTGCTAGTTCGAATATAAAGAGTCCACGAACGAATTTCACCGTAAACAGTTATCCTCCACTAAAAAAAGAATTATACAATTATCATAATAAATAAAACATATAATTAATATCTTAAAATTTGTGTACATGAATATAATAAATCACATTTTTTATATATTACTAACAAAATAAAAACACTTTATGTGAAATTTATAAAACTATAGAAAAGTTACAATTTATTAAAAAAATCGTTTTTGATAAATAAAATTATTAAATTATCCTACATTAGAAAAAAAAAAAAAAGAGAATATACCTTAACCAAAATAAATATACGATAAAAATGTCTTTAAAATGTGTTTACAAAAACATTATATATATTAATTATCAATTACAATTTTAAGAAGAACTCAATATGATTATCGATAAACGAAATCCTTCCACCAAAAACAAACTCATTGACAGTTCAAGAATCTGAGTTCATCACACTTAATTGGTAAAATACACCCTTAGTTGACATCTCAAAAATGGAAAATACTAAACAATACGAAAAAACTTTCTTAAACGGTTGGAAGCCTTTTATTTTTGTCAGATCTTATTTTACACTTCTTTAATTCATTAATTAATAGTTATCTAAAAGAAGTGATAAAAGATTAATTTAAACGTGAGAACACTCATGTTAGGTACCAATAAAGTCTCACTGTCTGTGATTACACCTCAAAAGAACATGATATAATTATGGGTAAGATATCCTTAGACCACGAAACAAACCACTCTGTCATGTTCCAGAATCCGAGTCCATCACACTTAATTGGTAAAGAGATATTTTTGATTATTTCCTAGTTCACATCTCAAAATGGAAAATACTAATCAATTCTAAACAATATATCATCATCTAAAACTGTATGAAGCCTTTTTATTTCCGTCAAATATTATTTTACCCTTTTAATTAATATTCTCTTTACATCAATTGATATTTATTTTAGAGAAGATCTCGTTCTATGCATCAAAGAAAAAAAAGATCTCATTCTCCTTTCGTACATGTTTTCCTACTTGCTTTCGAAACCAAAAAATAAAAACAATAATAGCACTGCTGCTAAAAAATAAACAACCCACCAATTAATCCATAAGTTATTGATTTGACTGAAATTAAATTCAATCAAATAAAATTTAGATTTGAATTTTCTCAGATACATAAAATACATACATATTGAGAAAGAAGATTTTTCTAAAATTAACTAGCTAAATTTTTCGACAAAATAATTTAGCTACACCCTTAACTTCCAAAATAATTTTTTGACATAATTCAATCAAATAGCATGATTATAAAAGAAAAATAAACAAGTAAAATAAGCAAATTCCAAAACCACAGCCTTAACTTTCAAAACTTGTTATTAATTCTCGATTATAAATATTTGTTTTAAGGCAATACCATTGCAAATATATATTATATATACATCAAACCTTACTGGTTACAGAAAAAACCTTAAGCAACAAACCCTAAACTTGTGAACTTGTGCGAGACTAAGTTAAGTTCTGACAGCGTTGGCGTACGTGTCCCGAGCATGCAGAATCCAACATCTGAACGCGCATGCCACGCATCCGAAAACCAAACATTGATATTAGAGAACCCACCACACTCCCACAGTCAACAAAAACCAAAAAAAATAAAAAACAAAAAACCAAAATTTACAAAATTCTCCAAAATGCTATCTCCCAACCCACTCTTTCTTCTATGCGCACTCCTTCTATGCTTACCTCTAGCCATAGTCTTCACCACCACCCCCAACACCAAACACACCACACACCCCACCACCCCAATCATCCTCAACATACCCAAAAACAACATTAACATCCCCCAAAAATTTAGCAAAAAACGCACCACCCCACTTATCCTTAACACACCCAAAAACAACCTTAGCATCCCCGAAAATCTTAACAAAAAATTATCATTGGCTCCATCGGGATCGAGGATGCCACCATCACTATTGTTGCCGTACTTGTATAAAGACTACGACGACGCGCTTTTGAAAGCCGCCACGCGCGTGAACGAAAGGCCCACTAGGCCCAACAAAACGGCGTTCATGTTCATAACCACCGTGCCACTCCCCTTCGCGCCGCTATGGGAATCTTACTTCAACCAAACCTCAAAAAATCTCTTCAACATTTATGTCCATGCGGACCCCACTTTTTCATATGACCCACCTTTCTCAGGCGTGTTCCACAACCGCGTAATTCCCTCCAAACCCACGAAACGACACACACCCACGCTCGCCGCCGCCGCGCGTCGCTTACTCGCCCACGCGCTCCTCCACGACTCGTCAAATTCGATCTTTGTGCTCCTCACACCCTCGTGCATCCCCCTCCACTCGCTCAACTTCACGCTCCACGCGCTGCACCGCCGCGGCAAGAGCTTCGTGGAGATTCTCCTCAACGAGACCACGCAGTACGATCGGTGGGCGGCGCGTGGCGCCCACGCGATGCTGCCAGAGGTGAGGTTCAAGGAGTTTCGCGTGGGGTCGCAGTTCTGGGCTCTCACGCGCCGGCACGCGCGGATGGTGGTGAGTGAGCGCGTGCTGTGGCGGAAGTTCAACGTGCCGTGCGAGCGGTGGTACGCGTGCTACCCCGAGGAGAATTACTTTCCTACCCTTTTGAACATGTGGGACCCGCGCGGGTGCGTGCACGCGACGCTCACGCATGTGAACTGGACGGGGCGCTGGGATGGGCATCCTCGCACGTACGAAGCGTGGGAAGTGGGGCCCGAGCTGATTCGGGGGATGAGGGAGGAGACGCCTAAGTACGGCGACGGCGGTGACGGAGAGAGGGATCCGTTTTTGTTTGCCAGGAAATTCGCCCCGGATGCGTTGCAACCGTTGATGAGAATTGCGAATGACGTCATCTTCAGCGCTTGACGGCTGTGATGTGAACGTGGGTAGGGGTAAATATGTATTCATGAAAGGGGAAAGGAACCAAGATATAAAGTGTAAAAATTGAAATGTTTAGGGTTTAATTAAATACCGCTTAATTTTAGTCTTTTAATTTTTAATTAAATAATTTAATTTTTTATATATCACAAATATAAAATTTTGGTTTCTTAATTTTTAATCAAACAATTTTATGATTAAACTACTATAATTATATGATTTTAATTTTTTTTCTATTGGTAACTTAATAATTTTTATTGATGCAGTACTAATGGAGTGACATGATGCATTTTTTTTAAAAATTTAATTCTCTAATAATATAGTTTTCTTTTATTAATATACTTACATTTTTTGTAAAATATATTAATTTATATTTATGAAATTATTATTTATAAATATGCTTTAAAATGTTATTAATATTAATTTATCAATAATATTATAATACTAATAATATATATATATATATATATAAATTTATTTATTTATTTATTTATTT